AACAAGGCATAGAATTTAAATTAAAAATTATTGAAATAAATTAGTGAAAATTCTTAGAAAAATAAATTTTGATCACTAATTTTCATCTTAATAATCATCCTAAGGCTAATTATATCATCTACTACCATTCTCAAACCAATAAAACATCAAACATTAACAATTTTTAACACCCCAAAATATCAAAATGGACAACAAATGAGGAAAAATTTAAACAACAAAAATTAACTAATAAAACAATCCATAACATTAAATAAATCAATCCCATAATCTAGAAATCTAAGGATATTGGAAGAAAATGAAGAAAAACTATAGAAATCACACACTCACGTACCTTAGAGAAGAGAGGATGAAGCAAAAAGAGGAAGCAAATGAGAGGGGCAATAGATGACATAAGTAGTGCCACTTTCATGTTGGAGAGAATGAAGGTGGTTGACAACAACAATAGAGGAAGATTGAGAGATTTCTACCTATTTCGTGTGCAAGTGGAGAAGAGAGAATACGTGATAAGACGAACAGGCGGAAATGAAAAATAAAACTTAAAACTGAATAAAAAAGGGAATAAATGACAGGTATTTTAATACCCATCATTTATTCATGTATATATCACGGGTGTTTTAAACACCCGCCATATATCTTGAAAACTTTAAATGACGAGTGTTTGAAACACCCGTAATTTAAAGTTTAATTTTTTTTTACTTTTAAGAAATTAAAACGTTGGGCAACAATATATGATAGTTGTTTAAAATATCTTTTATATATTATTTAGACTTTAAATGTTACGCCCCAAAAATAGAGGGTAACCGGCACGGGATGTGAATCATATAACACATCTCCGCAAGCCTCTAACTTTAAACTCATTTCATTTCTAAAATGTAATCAAATTTATATTGAAATTTTAACATTTTTGATATTGGTCATTAAAATAAAGTTTAAAAAAAATTTTGTAAAAATATCGACAAAACCTTGCTTGTAAATAGGATCATCTAAAACTCTACAATACAAAAATATTCACAGGATACCATGTCAATCAGGATCTTAGCTCTTCCAATAAACAGACAGCATATATACCAAGATAGAAGCCTTGGATGTAGCATATGTGGAGCACCTAACCAAACTCCTCCAAAATAAAATACATAAGCATTGATAGTTACATAAAAAGAAAATTTTGATAAGTTCTTTACCCAGCACATCTATGAGTTCTCATGGATCAACGGGGAATCGGCGTCAACTAGGGTATTTGAGACCAAAATAAATTTTCAGTGAATAACGTCCCAATAATAAATAATTAAACATACAAAAAATTAAAATAATTATGTTAGATAAAGAGACAACGATCTTTATAAAAATTTAATAAATTTTGAAATAAAACAATTCTATAAAATTTTAAATAAAATCTCAAACTATTAAAATCTTATAATAAATAATATTATCATTTGATTGCAAGGAAACAAATAACAAAATCAATAATTATAAATAATTTACTATTTAAAACCAATGGGATGTAAAGTTACTAAATAATCAAATTCATATAATAGGGACTTATTAGAACAATTAACAAACATGGACACACAGTCCACGAGGGCAAATAACCAAACGCGGCTCTTGCCACGAAAACAAACGTGGACACATAGTCCATGAGGGTATGTAACCAAACGCAGCCGAAGCCACGAATCAAACGTGGACACACAATCCTTAGGGGTAAATAACCAAACGCGGCTCTTGCCACGAAAACAAACGTGAGTACGATGCTCACGAATAACCATCCCTCCGTTCCACATGCATTGGCCATCGCATGTGGCTAGCACCTCCTATACACACCCTGCTAGCTAGGTGTACCATGGCACGCCAAGAGCTAACGGAACTGCCGTTAGCAACCAGTATTCTATATAAAGTCCCTTTCAAATTCAATTTCAAACATGCGAGAAATTGATCATTATTCAATGAAATTTTCCTTTTCAATGTCAAACTCGCATGAATCATTTTTCTATAGCAATTCAATAATTTCCAAAATGAAATCCCAGAATTAGAATTCAAACTTATATTTACTGATTAACTAAAATGATCAATTCTGGTAAAATAATTTCACGAAATAAATTAATTTAATCAACAACATATCTCATAATCACATTGTTGTCGTAAAAAGAATTTGCATAAAAATATAATATTTGAATAAAGGAGACTTTAATGAAATATCAGTTATGATGCTATCCACTTACCTTTTATGTGCCCAAACACTAGAATTCATTTCTTAAGAGTTCATTCAAGTCTCCCTTCCTCTAAGCACCCTATTCAAGATCAAGAACAATTTAATGATCTTACTCTAACCAAATAACTACCTATCAATATTGGCAATACTATAATCAATCGGATTCCAAATCATTATAATTTAGTAAACCAATTCTCAGTTTCTCCAATCCTTCCAATACTTTACATACTTACTTTCCTAAGCAATCATATAACTTTTAGGAATTCCTTTAATGACACACTTACTCCATATTCAACAAATCTTTCATAGTACTCAAATTAAACTCACAAATAATTAATATTCAAATCAAATATGCTTTATAAGAGTGATTTCAATTTCATAAAATACATAAAACAAACAAAACTTCTCCTAACACATTTTATCAAACGTCGAATACGCATCAATGTCAATTTTAATACAAAGCTCCCCTTCCAATCTCCTTCCAATATATAAGAGGATCTTGTTAGACCCCCTTCAAATCTAACAAACTTCCTTCTAACATTGTCACAACATTTTATAGATATACTAAAAATTAATAATACAATTATTACATTTGTTGCTTACCATTCATCAAAATTATTTCTTTCAAGCATTTTGTCAAACACCTCTTGCGCATTAATCCCTAACTAAAATCAATTTAGTTTCTTTTTAATTGCATTTCCCAAAAATTTCATAATATCAATATTGTAATCAATTCAATTTAAAAACCCAATTATTTTTTTTTATCAGCAGAACCAACAATTAAACAAGGGAAGACAATCAAAATTTTTGGTCATCCATACGCGACACAGAATTTCCACGTAAGAAGAGAAATGAAACTGCCTCAACTTAGATGAATAATGGCAGAAGCTGAAAGGAAAATTCTTGGGAAAAAAAAAACTCAACGCCTAAATCTGCAACTATACGAACGAGAGAAAAGAAGAAAATTCTGCAGCAGGGGAAGGAAGAAGCAGATAATACCGTGAACAAATATGGAAGTAACATAATCGGGCTTCCAACCGTCGCTCAACTCTTTGCATGCTCGCTACCTCGATCGAACAGAATGGAGGAGAAGAGAAAACAGGTTCAATGACGTGAGAAACAGAGGAGAAGTTTCAACTACTCAGCTCCATAGAGGCCGACGAACAAAAGAGGGAAAGAGCGAGGAAGAACTGCCGGCGATAGGGAGATGATAACACCATGGTGAAAGGTTGAGGGAAGTGCGACAGGAAGAGGAGGAGAGCAGAGAAAATCAGATACGAACTCCCTCCACTCTGTTCCGCGATGCTGACCGAAAGGGGAAAAGAAAATTTGAGCAATAAAACCATTAGAAAAATTACAATAAAACCCTTTGGATATTTTTGTTGAGTCACAATAGGAATAAGGACACATATGTAATTCCATACTCTTCCAGTACTTTCTGGTGTTCGAATGGCGGTGTAGAGGAAAAATCCGATATTAATGAATAATGTAAAAATTACAAAAAAAGGCACAATGAAAAGTACAATAAAAGACACATTTTTTTAAACAAAATAAAAATCAAACTTTTGCTTAATAAATTTCGAACTCTAAACCTTCAAAAATTTTACTAACATAAATTTTATTAAACTATCTCTCTCCACTGGCTATACAACTGATTTAAATAAAATATTAATTAGGAAAAAATTTATTAATTAATTTAATTTTTTTTAAATTAGTTTTTTTTCTAAAATTTATGGTCATTACATTGAATAATGGGTGTTTCAAACAATTTTCATTTAAAGTTTAAAATTTTTTATTTTTTTAAGAAATTGAAATGTTGGGCAACAATATATGACAGTTGTTTGAAATACCCATCATATATTGTTTAGACTTTAAATGACGGGTATTTAAAATACCCATAATTTGAAGTCCAATATTTTTTTTCCTTTTAGAAAATGAAACTTTGGGCTGAAATAAAGGACATATTTTTTAAAAACTGTTATTTAAAGTCTAACAATAAATGACGGGTATTTAAACATCCATCATTTATTTTCTAATCATCACCCGCCTCTCTCATATATGATGTGTTTTTATTTAACTGTCACTTTTTATGGCATCTTATATTTACATTTTTGTAGTAGTGACTCAAAACTAATTGAGCTATTAAACCTAATTTTAAAGTGAATTAAGTGGATATGTGAAAACCTATTAAAAGTAGGAACTCCTATGTGAAATTGGTCACTTATCCTTGTTTAATTACAACATAGCTAGTTTGGTTTCTTCTCTCTTCTCTTTGGTTTTAGTGACTTAGTTAGTATAACCAAGACTTAGGTAATACCTTGACTAACCCCAATCCAAGATTATGGTCTTAGAGTGAGCTAAAGCAAAGCTAGCATTAAGCCAAAGCAAAGTGTTACAAATATGAGTCAATTAGGTCAAGCACATATGATAGAATCAACATGCTCAAGATTATGATTCATGAAGATATTCACATGCATTCAAGTTGGCAAGATTATGAAAGGCAAGAAAACATGTTAAACTTATCAAGCTAACCAAGATTATGAATCAACTTGAAGAGACCAAAATCTAGAGCTCAAAGTAACAAAACTCAAGTAGCAACAAGCATCTCTCAATTATACGAATCATCACTTGAAATTACAAGATCAAAGAGTCATACAAATTTATAATTCTAGAGAGACAAAAGTAGAGAGAAGAAATTTAAATACAACTAGAAAATAATACAAACTCAAGGTTTCCTCCTCCACATAGTAGCCCCTTAATGAATCTAGCCTTGCATCTTCAAGCAATGTCCAAGTTGAAGCTCCAAAATTCTGGCTCTTTTTCCCATGAATTTTGCCTAAATTAAACAAGGTTTGATCCTTATGAAAGCTATTAGGTTTTGTAGAGGAGGAAGAGAGGAAGAGAATGGTGGTGTTTGGTTAAATTTGGATGGTTAGATTGAGAGATATGGAGGAGAGAGAGTAGAAGTGTAGGGAGAGAATTAAAAGAAAATGAAGAACATTATGAACAAGTGAGAGAAAATGTTGGAGATGAAGGAATGGGTGAATGAATCTCATTTTAGGGGGTGTGGAACATGCTCTAAGTACTTCCCCATCAGCTAAAGCTCAATTAAAAAAATAAGAAAAGAAAATAAATGAAAAATGGGAGCCTTGTCATACTTGCAAGGTGGCACCCTTTTATTGGCTTGTAGATGATTCCAATATGTATATAATTAATTCCATGTGTCATCCACAATTTTAGCTGATCTAAACCACCAATAAGAGCCTTTACACATCCAAACCATCAGCCTTTGACCCCATGGAATTTTGACTCCATTTGTCCAATTGATGCACAAGTCATATATCACCTATGCCACATAAATCACATAATTCAATTAAAAAACATGTGACATTATAAAATATAATTAAATTCCAAGATTGAATTCATAATTATAAGGGATAATTAATTAAAATAACCAAGTTTAGGCTACACAAAATTATATAAAAATTTTCATACAAAAGCAAACCGAAAACTAGGTCAAACTAAAATAGATAAGAAAGTGTTGACTTTTTATTTAATTACTCCCAAACTAAAATGAATTTTAAAAATATAATTTTACCACTCATCATATGAATATAAAATGCACTTTTTCAATTTTTCTTATACATTTCCTCAAAAGTTCATTTTTTGGACCAAAATGCGCCTAGTGCACTAAACTTAAAAACTTAGGCAAAATTTCAAATATAATGCAATATATGCACTTTGAGGTGATAAATCATTAATAAAAAGGTCCTAATTGACAAATAAAAGTGTATAACAAATGTGTTCTATCAATGAGCTTATTTGCAAAAGTGACACCTCACTTATGAGCTTATTTAATTTGTTCATATTGAGTAAACTTTAGGTTAGATGTCCATCAATGACCAGAAAAGAAAATATTTTCTTTCATAATAGTTCTACATGCTAAAAGGATCGTCAAATCTAATAATAATATAGTGAATCCCTTTTGGCATCTTTTATTGTCATAAAAGCCTTAATATAGAGATTTAGATCCTTGCTTTGATTTTATGTCAAAAACGGTGGAGGATAGTCAATTTTCTACTTTGGACAAAAATTTGAAAGGTTGCTCAAATTTTATTGGTAAATGGCCTAATATGGTATTCCTTACTCTCTAAAGCTTAGACTCATGAGGTTTCTAGTTTATCTCTTTACAATTTCATGGGAAAAATCATTGGGCAGGTAGCAAGCTTGGCATTTCAAGTCTCATTCTTCTAACCGGAAATTTAGACCAATAAAAATGCAAAGCAATAAAATCTAATGACATTTTTTCCTTTGGAAATATGAATAAATAAATCATTTCTATTGAAACATCAAGAATTTTGGGCCTAGAAGCTTAAGAACATGCCATAATTCAGTATGCTACTTAGCCCAACTTATCAGAGTCCCTCAAGTTCCTTGAAAAGATAGAATTACTCCCAGGCGCCAAATAATAATTTAAAACACTTTTTGTGACAAAAGCGTAATGTTTGAAGAGACTTTAAGGAAGTGTCCATAATTGAGAAATGAGTAAGTTAAAGTTCAAAACAGCCCAAGATAGGCTAAAAGAAATAAATAAGGCCTAGGAGGATAAAAGAGGCAACTAAGATCAATCTTGTAGAATAATCAGTAAATTTGTCAGATTAAGTAGACGTAGGGTTATTTAATAAATTTATCCTTACATGGAATAACTTAAAAAAAAGTCATCTTATGGAATAAAAGATAAGCAAAATTAGAGAGAGAGAGAGAGAGATTTAAAAATCGATTAGATATAAAAGAATATCACAAATTAGATAAAACAAACTATACAGCCAAAAAAAATATAACTAAAACTAAAACCACTAGATAGATTTATAAAGATAAATTAAGAATAAAATAAATTAACGATAGATAACACATTATATATATATAGATATATATATATTATCTAAAGGTTTCAACTAGATATACATATATTATATTAATATAATTTAAAAATAAAAAACCATTAATCTCAAAGTAAAAAAATGTTTAACCTTGGAGTTTTTAGAAAACCAAAACCTATAAATATTTTAACCTCCCACCTCTCATGACTAGTCTCTAAAAGCCGCCAAACCCACATCCTTAAACAAAAATCTCTTGGAGCTATGATTTAAACAAGTAAGTCTCAAGCTATTCTGATGCAGAATTTTCTAGAGGTCTATTACTGTTTCATTAAAACATTTATAGTAAATGGATTCTTTTGACTTTGATAATTTCTATGCATAATCTAGACATCATAAGATTTCGAGAAAGTTCAAAATCAAATTAATTGGAGCTCTGTAGCTTAAGTTATTAATTTTATAAGGGAAGGGTCAGAATCAGTCTTGGAAACAGAGCAACCTTAGGAAATGTATTTACTACATCAGTTGCCTCAATTAAAGTCCTATTTCTTTTTTCTTTTTCTTGTAGAGAATTTGTCAAGGTTTACAATAAGCCAAGAATCATATCAAAAGCAATTTTGTAGAATGAATTATATGAATTTTTAAAGTTAAGGTACAGATTGAATACAAGAAACAGAGCAAGCATGGAAAAGCAATGAACTGTATTTTTTGGCACAAGAAAAGGTCATAACTATTTTTGTTTATAGTAAAGGACTCCAAGAGCTTTCAATAGTATTTTAGGTCATTCTCATATGAATTCTCTATATTTAGGTATGATTTTTCAAAATTAAGCGAAAATTTTGAACTTACTAAATGAGTTGTAACCCAATAATTAAATTGCAAATTTTAATCCATGGGCTTCATTTTCCATTTTTCCTGAACCAAATCGCTTCTGAATGCATGGTGACAATGTTAAAAGTGAGGATTTGACAGCCACAATATACTACAACAAAAAGAAGCCTTTCAAATTGTTTATTTTTACCCTTTTAGAGCATTTCCAAAACACTTTCAAAAAATATGCTCCCATATATATGAGAGCAATTCTAAAATGTTCTTGTACGCTTATCCTACTTGAATATTTCTCCCAACAAATGTTCCCATATGGTAACTCTATAGGAGCGCTTCTCATGAGGGACACACTCGTAGGTCAAACTTATAATGTGTCTAAATTTTAATCTGACTATACACTGCTAGTAATAATTATAATTGACGTGTGAGATTTAAAATTACTTCGATCAGAGGTTGGACGATAGAACGGTGCCTCCTGGAAGTTGGCCTAGAAAGGCTATCATGACAGTAATTTAATATTATTATGACAGTAACTTTTTACCCTGCTTTCACCTAGTTTTCTTTCGTGCACTATAAGTAGAACTCATAAATTTTTTTCTAAATGTTTTCAATGTTTATTTTATAATGGTGTATTTGTTTAGTAATTTAAATGATTTGTTTCCTAAGTTGGTTTTAGGATTAACTCCTTAACCATACTTGATTTATTTTAATTGTGTGATTTTTGGATAACACTCGAGGCAAGTGTTTAGTTGAATCCGCTAACCTTTAATGGTAGTATGAGAGAGGGAAATGTGAAAAATTAGATAGAGAGAATAGAAACTAGTTTTGAGGTTATTCCCTGTTCCTTTGAGCAGAGGTGATATTAGCTACAATATAGCCGGTAGAAGATGACAAGCATTAGTGGCATTTAGTAAGACCCTCTGGTGGTAGTCGGCTCAGCTGGGAGCAATTCAGAGAGAGATTATTTGATTACTACTTCCTTGCGGCATTCAAAGATGAAAAGGAAGCAGAATTTTATGTGTTTCAACAGGGAGACATGGATGAAGAGTCATTTATGAAAAAGTTCAACCAACTTTCAAAGTTTATGACTTACTTGCATGAGAGGGATGATAGTAAGTAAAAGCTAAGAGATTAATTGAGAAAATATGCCCTGAATATAGAAGGTAGATAGCCTTACTAGGGGAGGCTACTTATGAGGAAACTTGCAATCGACTTTGTATAGCTGCAAGACGAGGTCAGGAGGTAGATTTTGAGAAGAGAAGAGATACTTATAGGCAATTTTCTACTCTATTAGGCCCAACTGGAGGGGTATTAAAGAGAGGCAATTCTAGTGCTAGTGGTTTTGGATCCTCGGGCAAGAGAGTTTTCAGTAAAGGATTATAGTCTTAGGAGTAATTGCCCAGGGCAGGAGGTTTAGTAGGGCTAGATATTCTAGAGCTCTACAACAGTTAAGTCAGACTGCTACCACCTTTATATCTTGTGTGAGCATCATATGCTCAGCTATGTGTGTGATTTGTGGCAATAACCATTTTGGAAGGTGTTAGGCATGTTACATCTGTAGTGGCATGGGCCATTTTGTAAAGGATTGCCCTGATAATTGAGGGGGAGCTTCTAAGTAATAACCGATGGTGTAAAGTTGAGTGTACATAGTTTCCTAAGAGGAGGCCCAAATGGCACCAAATCTAATCACAGGTACAATTTCTATATGCAAGAAAAGAGTTTAGGCTCTATTTGACTTTGGAGCCACTCATTCATTTATGTCACATGATTGTGTGAAAAAGCTGGAGTTGCTTGTGCATGGATTACCTTACATAGTTAAGGTGTCTATACCATTTAGATTACTGGATAAGACTAGTAAGGTGTGTAAGGGAATTGAGTTGTGCTTTAATAGTAGAACTTCTGTGATAAATCTGATCTTGATTCCTTTGTTTATTAGTGTGATTATTGGAATGGACTAGTTGATAGGGAATAATGCTATTTTAGATTGTGCCAGAAAGATGGTATTGCTACTAATTCATGTGATACCTACTGGGACTTCCATAACATCTACTAATTAGCCAAGATTGTTATCAATAGTACAAGGTAAAAGGTTGATTTCTGAAGGCTATCAGGCCTATGTCATTTTCTTTGCAATGGAAGGCAGTGGTAGTAGCAGTGTTGATGAAATCCAACTTGTAAATGATTTTCCTAAGGTATTTGCAGATGAGATATCTCATTTGCCATCAGAGCGAGAAGTAGAGTTCTCCATTGATTTGGCACCTGGTACTTAGTCTATTTTGAAAGCTCCATGCAAAATGGCTCCTTCAGAATTGGTGAAACTTAAGAAGTAGCTTAAGGAATTGTTAGAGAAGGGCTTTATATGCTATAATGTGTCGCCATAGGGTTCGCTAGTCCTATTTGTGAAAAATAAGAAGGGCAGGTTGCGATTGTGTATGACTACAAGCAACTGAACAAGGTGATAATAAAGAACAAGTGCCCACTCCCAAGGATAGATGACTTGCTAAATCAGCTAGTAGGAGCTTCAGTGTTTTTTAAGATCGATTTGTGATTTAGATACCATTAATTGAGGGTAAATACAGAGGATATACCTAAGATAGCATTTCATACTTGATACGGTCACTTTGAGTTCTTGGTGATGCCG